TGTGCTGTTGCGTTCATTTATTTAGATTTCTTCATGAGTTTCTCTCACACACAGGCAGGCTGCGCAAATCTTGTCAATACATTATTCATTATCAGTTTCCATTTACACTGAATGTAATAAAATCAGAATCATTCTCATCGAAATGTTGGTGCTTGCCTCATATTTTATGTTATTGATGTTTTAATCAGGCTACTTGTTTTGTAGGGCAAATAAAATGCTCTTTCACTTGCCCCTTGTCCCGAACAAGGGTTAATGTCAAGCCCTGTACTGTGAGTTTGGTCACATCACATCTCAAGTGTACATGAATTGAGTAGATTCAGATAGAGTCAGGTTCGTGTCTCAGGTCTCGCAGGAATTGTCTGTGGGGGGAGTGAATAACCACTGCTCTCTTCCACACTCAATACCACGACTGAGGTTAGACACTTGAGCAAGGCACCGAACCCCCAACTGCTCCCTGAACGCCTTAGCAATATGGCTGCCCACTGCTCCAGGTGTGTGTTCACAGTGTGTGTGCACTTGGATGGGTTAAATGCAGAACACAAATTCCAAGTATGGGTCACCATACTTGGCCACACATCACTTCACTTTACTTCACTTAATGCATTTGTATTCTGAGCTCTGTTAGCACTACAGTGCTTAGCTCTACAGTGGAAAACGAAACCATATACGTGCCGACTGGCCCGAATTGGCATGGAATGGAAACGTTAAGCAACAAGAACGTCCCAGGTTACGTATGTAACCATGGTTCCCCGAGGGAATGAGACGCTGCGTCGAGAAACACTTTGGGAACACCACTGTGTTCCCACGCACTGAAACGTGTGTAATCCGTCCGAGGGAATCCCGGGTGATGTCACCGGCGGAGATGACGTAGTGACCAGGAAGTATAAAAGCACGTGCGGTGGAGACAGTGGCAGATTCTGGAGAGTGAAGGAAGCGCTCGCAGGGATGCAGGAAGTATGGCAACGAGACGCAGCGTCTCGTTCCCTCGGGGAACCATGGTTACATATGTAACCTGAGACGTTCTCCTTCGGGAACTTACGCTGCGTCGAGAAACGCTTTGGGAACGAGTATGCCCACGCCACCAAACTGACAAATCCCTGCCTAGTGTGGAACGGCACAGCTAGGCTGAGAGAACTGAGGAGACAGGAGTGGCATCAAGGTCAAGGCTATAAAACCTGATGAAGGTCAGAGGGGTGGACCATCCCCCAGCATTGCAAATATCGTGCATCGATACACTGGATGAGAAGGCCTTGGAGGCCACCATACCTCTAGTGGAATGAGCCCTGACACCCAGTGGCGAGGGGAGACCAGAAGACTCGTATGAAGTAGTGATAGCATCCACTATCCACCTGCTGAGGGTCTGCTTGTTCGCAGGAAGACCCTTCTTATAAGGACCGTAGCATACAAATAACTGGTCCAACTTTCTCCACAGGGCAGCTCTGTGGACGTATGTGTCCAGTGCTCACACAATTAAGCTTTTCCAGGTCAGGGTCACGAAAAGGAGGAGGACAGAATGCCTGTAGAACGACTGGCCGTGGAACAACAGAAGGCAACTTTCGGACATACCCCGGCCTGGGGTACAGAAAAGCTCTCGCCATACCTTGCCATACCATATTTGTCAAGAGAGTGTCTACTTCTTGTTCCATTACCGGAGCCTGCTCGGGGTCCACCAGAGTGGGAAACACCCCGTTGAATAGAGGCGGACGCAACCCGAACTGAATTTTGTAGCCTCTTTCTACAGTGTGCAGGACCCATTGAGACACATTTGACAGAAGCTTCCACGCTGCCAGATAATGTACTAAGGGAACCAGTCTCTCGAGACTGGCCTCTGGTGTGCTTTGAACTGCTAGCTCGATGCCCCTGAAGCGGAGGACCGGCAGGGGACGGCCAATCTAGCTGTTCTAGAGACCTCCTTGGAGGTAGCGAGCCTCTCAGGACCACTGCGTTTCCGGACGGAAGCTGAGAGATATACTCGTTGGAGACCGCTGTGCCCTGAAGCACCGGGGGTGGCAGGGTTAACTGAATGATCTCCTGAGGGCATTGAGGAGAGACGGGCACCGTGTGATGAGGTATGAAACGCTCTTCCCCAGAGGGGCCTGCCCTCAGAAATCCTGGACCATGGGCGTCAGGACCTCTTGGCCGAAGTCTTCTTATTGAAAATGATGGTCCTCAGACCCATCATTTCCTTAGAATAACTTCAACCAGGAGCGCCGCCCACCCTCGTGCCTTTCTCTCTGAGGGGGAGTGGGAGTAGCAAAGCTCCGTTTTTGGACTTCTCGATGTGAAAAGCTGGTACACGGCTGGGGCTGATCCTGCCTATCAACCCCATGAGAACGGCGATGGAGAAATCGCTGAAATGCGGCGGCTTGTTTCTTGGCCTCCTGGAATCTGTCGGCGACGTTTTTTTACAGCGTCGCCGAACAGTCCAGAAGGCACTAGCGGGGCGTCAAGGAGAAAGACCCTGTCTTTATCGTTAATATTAGACAGGGTCAGCAACAGATGTCTCTCTGTGGCCACTAGGGCTGCGATAGACCGCCCAATTGCTCTGGCGGTCTCCTTTGTTGCCCGGAGCGACAAATATGTGGCTCTACGCAATTCAGTGATGTCATCATTTTTAATCTCTTCTCCCACATCCATCTCTTTTAGCAGGCCAGCCTGGTATGCTTGCAACACAGCCATAGTGTGCAAGCAAGCTCCAGCCTGACCCGCTGCCGTGTACGCTTTACCCACCAAAGCCGAAGAAGCCCGAAGTGGCTTGGTGGGTAACACCGTCTTAAGGGAAGATGCACCGCCAGGCGAAAGATAGCCCGCAAGCATATCCTCAACCCGGGAATCCTTCCATAACCACGCTCATTCAGCCCTACTACATTTGAATAGTGTGAAACATTTGGACTGAAGAGGCCCGGCCGAGTATGGTTTATCCAACAATCTAGACACCTCAGTATGCAGATCTGGGAAAAACGGCAGACCCCGTGGAGGCAGTGACTTTGATCGCAGGAAGCGTTCGTCAAGCTTGCTTTTAGGATGCTCCTGCTGCTCTTTTTCTGCTGGCCAATCGATATTTAACTTGGCCACCACTCTAGTCACTACCTCCAACAGCTCCTCAAACAAGACAGACTGTGGTGGCAAGTCCACAGACTCGTCTCGTTCGGCACTCGCGTCATCCCCCTCCTCAGAGGAAGACAACACAAGTGCCGAGCCCCCTCCCGGGGCGGAAGAAACCGTTTTTGCACAAATAATTTTTTTTTTCTTCTTCAACATTTTTCATGTATCTGTTTGTGTTTTGTGGGGAATGTGGCTTTATCTGCTTGATTACCATCTGTATGACCGCACATCAGCATGTGCTACTGTGTGTATGACAGCTATCAATGTGAATGCGGTCTATATGAATAGAGCGTGCTCCGCTCCCAAATAAGCAACGGACAAACTGTGTGTATCCCCACCCGTGATGAAACGAGGGCAGGGAGGAACACACACCCTGAAACACTGCTTGTCAGACTCAGAACTCTTGCCAGACTTTGCCATTATAAGTTTGCAACAGGACGTACAATAATAAATATGACGTGACACACAGAGCACTTACTGAACAACAGAAGCTGCCGTTGTCTCCACCGCACGTGCTTTTATACTTCCTAGTCGCTACGTCATCTCTGCCAGTGACGTCACCCGGGATTACCTTGGACGGATTACACACGTTTCAGAGCGTGGGAACACAGGGGCATTCCCAAAGCTGTACATCCTTCCTTCAGAACTCTTTTTTTTTTCAGAAGTACTCACTGTCCAATATGGGCCACCTTTTAACCCTAGTCTGAGATGAGTTTCTCAAAAGCATCATTAGCCAACTATAGTCGCAAAATCCGTTGAACTCTTTTGGTAGTGACGTAACTTGTGCCATAGTTGAACATTGAACATAGTTGAACCCCTGAACATTGTCTTTGAGGTTTTTACTTAAGTATTATTAACTTTACAAACTACTTCAAGATTAACCTTGACATTGTGCTAAATGCATGATTCTGAAATGCTAAACTATCACCCATCCATTCAATGTATACCTTCATAGGTAGATTTATATACATCGTTGTGTCACACGCAGAAGAGGATGTGTTCCATTTTATGTAATGCAAATATGCATGTAAAGATTTGTCCTTTCAAAAGGCTGTTTAAGTTGTCCACTGAAACCATCTCACATTAAAGTGGAACTTTTGCACTTCAATGTGTGGAAAGGAGTTTTGAAGGTTGCTATCTTCTTTGCCTGTGGTTCTCTAAAACATTTGAAAATAATAAACATTTTAAGTAGTTAAGAACGTTTTGTGTATATATTCCTGAATTATACTATTTGTACTTCTAATGTAAGATCAAATAATTTGCAATAACAATGTATATTAAGAATATAAGATTAGATTTAATGCATTGGTTTAGGGCAATTGTTTAGTGGCTGCAAAGAGCACCTTTCTCATTTCATGGCCATTCAGAAATAACTTTGTGTTATATATTTATATAGAAACATATTTGTATTATGATTAAATTACATTTTTTGAAAGCAACATATAAAATATAATTCATTATATTGTAGTGAGTATTTTACCAGTGCCCAGTTCTTTTGAGGATGACTCTTAGAAACCTGAATTGGATTTCCCTGTAACAGGTCAGGATAGAAAATTGTGCACAGTATATAATATTACACAATATAATGTATTATATATTGTATATTTTATTTACTACATTGCGTAATATATATTAAGAAACCAAATAAGATCAATTTAAATTTTATGTTGACTTTAAGTTGCTTAATTATTTACTGATCATATTTTGTTGATATTTTTACTGGAAACCCAGAAGAAATAGGGTTTATTTTGTAATGAAAGGTTTATTTTTATTTTTATTTTTTTGTAATGTATACACCATTGCTTGTCTCAAATAAAACATTTTTTCCATTGCATGGATAGACTGTATCAGTTCTAAGTAAAGCCCTGAACATTCTGCTATTGTGTGTCAAACAGAATTTTGTCAACCGGTATCCACACTGGGTGAAATTCATGATGGTCTGTCTCAGAAGAGTGAGAGTGAGCAGCCACAGTTTCTTTCTGGAGATGAAGCTGATGCCGACCTCAGTCTGGATCAAGACCAGGAACAGGATCAAGAGCATAGCAACAGTGAAGAGACTGTTACGACGCCTACAAGAAAAAAGGACATTAAGGTAATAAGATACTATTTCATGAGAAATCACATATTCAGAAGAAATTTAACAAATTCTACTGCATCTCCTATTTTACCTCCCTGCAATAAATAAATAAATATAAACCTTCAGTAACAAATATAGATATGTACATTTATTATTATTATGTGTGTGTATTATATATATACAGGGGGTGCATACAAGTGGTGTGCATGCGCGACCAAAAAAAAAAAATTGCTGTGTAAATAGTTAAGACCGCTAATTTGTGTACCGACATGGCTGACAAGTGATCCACAATCAACTATTTAGATCGTCTAACTGTAATACTGTACTGTACTGTAAGATTTCCAATCAAACTGAAAGCATAAATCTTGGCTATGCACTGCCAATTTCATATACTTACAAACCCACCAAAATAAAAGCTTGCTGATTTAAAAATAATAATAATAATAATAAAAATAAAAAAGTAAATATTAGCATTTAATTTTTAATTGTACTATAAATAATTATTCAATAAAAATGTATTTTTATTTCATACTCAATTTTTACTTCAAAATATAATAGTATTATCACACTTCACACTCTATTTATTATTCTGTTTATTTTATTTAAAAATGCAAAATAAATACTATAAATACTAATACTATTATTACTATAATTAATTATTTTATTTTATAGTTTTATGGGACACACTATGTTCAGCTATATAGTATTATTATTTGTATTATTATTATTATTATTATTATTGTTGTTGTTGTTGTTATTATGGTTTTGGATTCCAAGTACAAGGCTCCAGATGCCCCATGGTGTGAACATGTCTATTTTTGAGGAATTGTACTTTTCTGAACAAAAATTTTGTTTGTAAAACACTGCCAAATGTTATTAAAGGGGTACTTCACCCAAAAATTAAAGTTCATTTTCATGTTTTGGTGAACTATCCCTTTAAGTAGGGATGTGCGAGACTAGTCAACTAGCCCAGGGTTCCCTTTCGTGATGGTCTCTCGAGGTTGTGTATAGCTTGCTGACGATATGGGGAAGCACCTGTCTTAGACCCATGCTTGAATTATCCTTGCCTGCAACCAACTGTGACATACATCTGCTGTTTTCTCTCTCTAATGCTGTCTCTTTTGAATTACTTAACTTTTTTAGAACACATTAACTCTTTCCCCGCCAAACACTGAATTTTACATTATTCATGAGATAACGATTCCCTGCCAAACACGGAATTTTCCTGGTTTCTGCGTTCTCAATGTTATACACTCAGGGTCGCTATTACGCATCTCCTGAATGAGTCTAGAATCACTAGATCAAAAACACAGACGAAGAAGATGCAGAAACGAGCGATCTCATATGTAAGAATATGCAATTATCTATGCTATGAAAAGTAATGCAATTATCAACACTAAACCCCATATAAATGAAAACTGCCTAATGTTACAGCACTCTGTGTAGATCCAGGAAGTGGTAAAGGACTGTGCAAGCTTTGGGGTGCTGATGAAAGTGATCTACTGCATATTTGCTTTGATCATTGTACTGAATATGATTCAGATGTAGTATTTGATAAAAATGCGATTTGCTCAAAATGTTGCTTTTTTTATGAAACCTACCTACATTCAAGTGTTTGAATGCTTGAAGCTAGAATAAAAACAGATGTTTTTGTTTAAAAGTAGAGGGTCTGTTCTTTATTTTGATGTATTGCATGTTCATATATTCATACAACAAACTATTCTGGGGGCTATGAAAATGTTGGCTGGCAACATTTTTCAAAAACGCTGGCGGGGAAAGAGTTAAACAATGCTATAATTAATTTCTTCCATTAAACATTTCCCAGCTAAAGGAGGAAGCATATCTGGGCCTTAATACGCAGGAGGTATTTTAAAGCATCAGTGTCTATGGTTTTATCTACATTATACATTTCCCTTTTAATTCAAATCAGCATTTTGCTTGAGATCATAGTGAACATTTGCGTGTTTAGACATATTTCAGGAGGCCACGTGTTATTAAAGGAATAGTTAACCCAAAATGTTTTTTAAAAGTTCATTTAAATTGTTTGGTGAACTATCCCTTTAAGTAGGGATGTGCGAGACTAGTAGACTAGGATGACTTGAGGGTGAGTAATTTATGGGCTAATTTAAATTTTTGGATGAACTAACCCTTTAAACCAAGAGCAGACCATAGTATGTGCCTAGAGTGTTCTTAAAACAGTTCAGAGCCATTGATATAACTCTCTCAGCTTTCACCCTGAGTGAGTCAGCAGCTGGGGAGGATACACCCACCCTGCCACACCTGCAGCCACTCTGCCTTGTGTGCTTTGTGCATTTACCAGACAGTTAGGTTCTCTGAACAGCTGTTTGTTTGTTTTGGTGGCTGTTATTCAGTGGAAAGATTCTAAAGTATATAGCCACTCAGTGCCACTTATATTGGGTTCACCTCTTGAGCTTCTGAAAATTGTCGCCAGCTTGGCATGCAGTATAGTCGAACCATGTACACAATTGTGCTTTGACACAATTGTCATATTAACTGACTTATAATGTTTGCAAGGACTCACAACTTCCCGAGTGTCGCATAGTGTATGCCTGGCTTAAGGGAGGCATACAACATGTGCAATGCTGAGGGCTTCCAGTGCATGTTTGAAAAACTCTAGATTAGTCAACTAAACCAGGGGTTCTCAAACTTTTTGGGGCCCGAGACCCCTGGGAAAAAAAATTCCATTGACCCCTATATAATTATAATGGTGATTAAGCATGTGCTTTTCTACAACGTGCACATATATTTTAGCTTAAAAACTGTAAAATTCACTAAAAGGCAACACTATTGGTGGCAGTCGTGGCCTAATGTTTAGAGAGTCGGTCTTGTAACCCAAAGGTCACAGGTTCGAGTCTCGGGACCGGCAGGGATTGTAGGTGGGGGGAGTGAATGTACAGCGCTCTATTCTACCTTCAATACCACAACTGAGGTGGGAGCCTTGAGCAAGGCACCGAACCCCCAACTGCTCCCCGGGCGCCGTAGCAAAAATGGCTGCCCACTGCTCCGGGTGTGTAAAAGTGCATAGTGCATGTCAGTTAAAACAAGTGGACACGAGCACTTGTCTACTTGTTTTTAACTCACATGCACTCTGCACTTTTTGCATGATGCAATTTATGAAATAAAAAAATGTATTGCTAGACTTTTTCAGTCTGTATTGGATTCAGTGTGTGGCTACCTTCTTGTTAGTATTCTAGTATTCCTTTGGCTCTATGCACCTGCAGTAAAAGGATTTCTTTTTTCCTATTTGGAGCACTACAATTTTTCTTTAGTTAACACAGTTTAATTCTCACACTTAGTGTTTAACTGCTATTTCTGTACAGGTTATGTAGCAACGAGAAAGCATTATCTTAAAATGTAGATCAGTATGCATGTGCAAGGAAATCCATCCAAATTAAATATACCTTTTTATCTCTGTTTCTCAAATGCCAATGATTACACCCATGCCAAGTTGCCGACCCCTGCTCTAGTTTTTGGGCATTTTATTCTTCTCCAACTAGTCCAACATATCCAGATAAAGTTTGTGCTATTACTTCCCTGGACTAAAAGTTGTTGTGTACAGTGTCTGCATACAGTTGATGTTCCATATCTACATCTAACTGAAATCTTCCAAAAAAAACTTGTTTCCTATCTGATCCTGTTTAATCCTGATCTGTTCTTGCTCTTGTAGAAGGCCTCGCTCTTGTGTTTCTTACTCTCCTGACCTTGTCTGTAACTAACATCAACCTTGATCCTGTTTATTCCTCCATCTCTGCTGCTTTCATCTACCTGTCATCTACACTTGAAGAAGGAGTCAACCCCTCTACAGGAGGTATCTCTTCCTTAAGGTTCTTCTGTTGAACATGTTTTTGTCTAGAGCTGGTTACCCTAGTGAAAAATAAATATACTAAAATGTGTTTGAAATACATTTATTTTATGCTAAGCATACTACAAATACATACTGTACATTACATTACGCATTTATGTACTTAATAAAAATACCCTGCAATTGTACTATTGGTATACTAAACTGGTATACTTAAAGACTGCTAAATTGGAACAACTAATTTTGTACTTAATGCGCTTTAATTGTAGGGAAATAATGCTGAAGTCCAACCAAATATATACTTAAGTATTTTTGATTGTGCTAAAGTGGAACTATTGCAAGCATACTTTAGGTACACTTTAAATATCTTGCATTTAACAACCGATATTATTCAAAGATCATACAATCCTCATCAATAGTGACATTAAAACACATTTTAGGCTTAATATTAAGAAATGTGCATTGTGCACAAGTAGTACTCCAAATGAAGTTTAGCTATAATTTTTATATGTTAATAGATTTGAACTATACCAAGTATGAAATAAATGTATTTTAACTATATTACTTTTTTACTAGGGTAGTATGACAGTAATCTGCAACAGAAATTAATAAACCAGAAAAGGTTGTGCTGTATAATTTATAGTGATACAGTGGAAGACACATTTGCTTGGCTACAGAAAGGGCTGTGTCTCAAACAAGTCAAAACAAGAATCAAACTATTCTCACTCTCAAGGCATTCAGTACTACCACTATATAGACCATAATACACTGTCTGGCCAAAAAAAAGTCACTGTCTGTATTTAAATAAACAAATACAAAAGATTATAAGATTGCATCATTATTGCAGTGATTAATATGTTTCTGGCATGTTGTATGTTTGGCAACAATTCTTTTAACCCTAACTGATGCAGTGAATGGCTTTTTATTTCTCAAACAACCATGTTGGAAGACGTACCCATGTCCAGTGTTGGGAGTAACACGTTACAAAAGTAATGCATTACAGTAACTGATTACATTTTGCTGTAACCCAGTAGTGTAAGGCATTACTAATCAATTTTCAGTAATATTTTACTTGGTACATGTTCAGTAACACATGCGTTACAACACACTTTTAGCAAAAAATTTAATTGTTCAAAGAAAGAAAAAAAAAACCAGCAAGACCGCGAGGCATTAACGAATCAAAAATGCCGCA